CTGGATATATAATGCATTTCTGGATGCAAAAGGTAAACTTCACCCGATTTTTCTTTGAGTTCACAGATACTCGCAGGCCCACAAAACTGCCTGTCCAGCCCAAAGATGAGTACCAGATTAATTGATACTGCTAGTTTATTGCTGTTTTATTGCACTATGACTACATTCTGGCTGTACGTTTGAAGAAAATCTGCTCAAATCCCTGAAAGTTTCATACTGTGAAGTGTGATGCCCAGAACTCGCTGCTGCTGCCTGTTTTAAAAGGGCAACCAGTCTTCAGGCCAAACAGAGGAGCTATTTGTTCCCTCTCTTCACTGTTAATGGTAGTACCCAAAAATAATCAGAAATGCTTCTAAACCTTTTGGGGTTTTTTAAAGGATAAAAGGGAATAAGAAAGTGAGGTATGTAAATCCAAGTGCATTTTTTCAACTTCATTTTCTGAGCTGACTTCTAGATTGGTCTTAGCTAGGAATTTTCTTAGTGGAAAAGGCAAATCTTCAGTGCTTGGCTCATCTGAACATTCTAATAACTATGCAGGCAAACAATACAATTTACACTCCCAGGACTGATTTGTTGTAAGCTTTTATGCTTCTGCACATAGCTGTATTAGAATCAGTTGTACTTCTTGTTTGATATGTAGCATTGTAACTGTGACACTCAAAATAATGTACATAAACCAGACATTCTGGAAAGTTTCTGACCTTAGAAATATGGCTGTGTAAGAGAGGTTTATTGTGGAAAGTATTGCATCCTTTCAAAACAAGTGATTGTTAGCAAACCTATAATTCAACCTCCGTAAAGGAACAAATCATGAATTGTAAATTTAAACTTTCATTTCCTCTAGAACACGGGTTTAACTATTTCTCCATTTATGATTTAAAGCTTTGTGTCTGTATATAACCCAAGTCAAAATCACAGAAGTGGCATTCGTCCCAGTGATTCCTCCCAATCTGTCTAAAACCATCTGGTTTTGCTGCATGTTCCCTTGCACCCAGGAGCTCTGATTCTGACAGCAATGTATTTCTAATGCTGATGTGTGAAGAACTAATCCAGCCATTTGGATGCACACTTTGCTATCTAGGTGTCACTGTTATACATCATGCCGGCTGAGATACCAAAGAACAATAACAACAACAAATATGAATGCATCATGACAAAATGTTATATTTATGGTTTGTGTACATGCATAAGTCAGTTGCACAACCATCTCTGGCCTCCACTCTGAATTCATTTATATGGATGGAATCAGCTTCCAATCATTCACAGCAAGATTGGCTTCCAACAGAAAGGCCTAGGGATATGGAGCCTCCCTACCAGAAATACAGAGACAGGATCCAGAAGCAGATTTGGACTCACCCTATAAGGATATTTACACGGACGAACAAAACTGGAGCTTCTAAAGTCACATACCTTTCTTTTGCATTCATATTCTTTTTATTATGCATAAGAAATCTTTCATAAGATTTCATCTGATGCTCCTAAACTATTGCATATCAAACACTTTTAGCTCAAGAAATCCTTCCTCTCACAAAGTTCTTGATATACTCTTCCCCTGGCATTCATGTCCAGCCACTACTGACAACAGGGTACTAGAATATATAGATCATCATGCAGCTGCTCACACATTCTTTTACATTCAGTATGTTTTAATTTTTACATCTATGAGCCTTGCTCTCATTCTCTTACTCTCAGGGAAGTTTGTTCTCTCTGTTGTGCTTTTTCAATAATACCATGAAGTCATGAAGAATGAAATGAAAATAATTTTATAGAAGCTACATACAACGATTTGCACACAACCTGGATAAAACACTACTGCATGCCCTGTCTATTATGCATTTCCTACTCTATTTCTATTAAGTTTTGATAATGTAAAGTAGAAAAATTACTCATCTCCAGTGCTGCCATGTTTTCAAATGCCATATGAGAATGAAATCTGATGGTTAACAAACTGTTCCTCTTATCTCTAGGATCTGATGGCTTTGCTGCTCTCCCTATTTACCCTTTTGGCATAGTATCTGTATTTAGATTAACCCCCTGCAATGTTTCAGCATGTTACCTCCTATATAAATCTCATTCTTTTCGATCATGCTCGACCCATCTGTAATTTTCCTGTGTTTTTGTTTATGCTCAGGTTGTTTCTTCCATCACAACATGGTCCATGTACAGCATTAATATTCTGCTTACTCTCCTACATCTCTAAGAAAGCAAACAAATAAATAAGAAACTAAAGCAGTCTGTGCTATCCCACTGGCTAAATACTTTCAACAGTCTATTGGTGTAAATACCAGCACCTACATCAAGAGCACTCTGGTCCCCCTTCCTAGGCCTGAGGATGCAATGACAGGCAAGAGGGAGGAGGGGACTAAGCAAGAACTAGTTAAGCTGGGCAGAGAGCTGAAATAGCTGAAAATAGCTGAACTTTTATAGGGCAGTGGATATTCACAGTATCACAAATTGCAGAAAGTTCCTCTCAGGCAACAAGCATTCCTCAATCCACATCCTGCTGTTACGAGAGAAATCGAGGTCATCCAATATCACACAAAATTTATCCATATACTCAGGATTGAATTCTAAGGTTCTACTTAGAGGGGGCATTGAATTTAGGGCAGTATTCACAAAAGTGGAAAAAAAAAGGACAAGATTTAAATGATTAAAACTGGTCATTTTGAAGATGACTAAACTCAAGCATGTGACTGAAAGCTTTCTTGAAGAAGATCCTAACCATAAGCAAATCACAATCTGTATTCCTATCACTTGCTGATTTTAATTCTAAGTAGTAGAAACAAATGTGCCTAGAATTTTTGTTTCCTGCAATCTTATGATGCTCATAAGTATACACAATTTATTTTTCCTCAGTATTTTCCTGCCTCTTGAGCAATAACTATTCCTGTGTTATAAAAAAATCGGAATATTCTTCACTACAATGAGAAGCAAAGTGACAACATAAGTGTCTAAAGAGAAAGTTTCTTAATGAGTAGTGAAATAAGCACAGAAAAAATACCACCCAAATGCCTGTCTTGTACAAAACTGAAACATAGTAAAGCCATATTTTAAAAATACTTATCCAGATAAGAAATTGGAGTATCTCTTCATGATGTATATATATTTTTACTACATGATTTAGCAGGTAATCGACTGTGCTGATAAGCAATTGTCATTGAAATCTTAGGTCAGTCAGTTATCCACAAATTAACAGACTATTTCCCATTATGATGCATCAGCCACTAAATAGACTAAATACAGAATTTCATTATTTTTAATTAGCATAGACTCCTTATTACCTCCAATAAAATAACTCTGAAAACTGTTTAGATGTGATCCTTTAAATAACAAAGTATTAAAAGAAAATTTATCAGTTCAAAACAAGATCTTTAAAATATTTTGAAATCTGACAGAAGACAAATAATAGCAGTGAGTTAAAGGTGAAACGGTGTCTTGAATATTGGACAATTTTACCCCAGCATGATTTATAGACCCAGCCTGAAACATGATAGCAAAAAAATAAGGATTTTCATGGAGGTGCCTGAGGTCTACAAATCTCATTACTGTCATTTCTTTTCCTTCTCTTAAATTTAATAACATTTATTTTTACAGGACAAAACAAACATTGACACACGTATCAAAAATAGTCTATATAGCACTGTCTTCAAAGTATTAACTTCTCGTGTACTCATTATCTTGTGTTAAACCCTAAAAACTATTTGTTTACTATATAGATACAAAAATTTGTTCTTCTAAATACTGAAATTTCTATTCTGAAATAAGAAGATTTCTTATACAAAAAAACCACCAACAAATGAAATGTAATTTATTGATCAACCGTATCTTTAGCATACAGTTTTAGGGAGTATTTACAACCTGGTCTATGACTTTTAAAATTTACGTTCCAGTTTAAAGTATTACATTTGAACTTGTCTATGAAAAAAAAAAAGAAAAAGAAAAAAAACCTAAACAACCCACATCAAATTTCTTTAACAGCTGGCAAAAGGAATAAATGTTTTAGGCCTAGAGATATGTCAGCATCCACAATATAGTGTCTACTTTATTCTGAAAACCATTTAAGGTAAAAAAGACAGATTAGTAAAAAAAGAAACATTCCTTTATTAGGTAAAGGATGCCTTAAAGAGACTCTAAAACAAATCTTTTGTGCATATTCTAAAATGAAATGCCAAAAAACTAGGCCAAAAATCAGAATGGATGTCATAAATATGTTTACAGATACGTCTTTATGAATAAATTCAAGTTTGCAGTAAGGATGATGGTACAAACAACAGACAAATGGATCCAATTCTCTGACACTGAACAGGTATATGCAAAAGTCACAAAAGGTAAAATAGCATTCTCCAACATCCCATCTGGTTTTATGATGATTAAAATTACCAATTTAATATTGATACTGGCATAGCAGAATTGTCACAACTCACTGAGGGATTTCTGCACATGGGTAATAAGCATTCTCATCCCTTCAGGTCTTTCACTATGACTATCAAAACTGTAATGCTTCAAAGTAAGTTTGCCAGAGGCACCTTTTCTACAACATTAAGATCATGGAAACAACACACAGCATCATTTTCTGTTACTCTGGAGAGTGGCTGTGTACCCTGTCCCTGGGAGGCAGACTGGCTAAACCACTCACAATGTCCCCAGGGAACAGTGCTGTTTAGCCTATTTGCATTTCCTCACCACAAATTGTGTCTTTTAAACAATGATACAATTACTATTCCTTTCATTCATGTATTTGAGATGTAGAAAATAGCCCCATGGTTTGGTCAGTCCCTCTAAGCTAGGTGTAAGGAACCAGCTTTTTGTAGACTTTAGTTTGTGTTCTGTGGACACAGTAAGAAAATCCCAGTGGGACTTTTTATTTTTCAGCCCAATTATCAATGTGCCAAACTTCAGAAAAGCTCAAGAAAAATATTTTGGTTTCCAAAGGAAATGAAATTATCACATAATATGTAATCAATATTTTAGTGCTTAACATTAAAAATGCAAGTACTCACAGTAGCATGTTCCCCTAAGTGGATTTCCAAGATACCTATTTTCAGAGTCACAGCTGCAGGGGGAAAAAAAAAAGACAAAACCAAACATTCCCATTAAACACAGTACAACTTCAATAAAAACGCAGCTAGAATATTTATTGAAATAGCATGAGTTGGATTCCTAGTAGCTCAGATACATGCAAATAAAAAGTATTTGATACAGTTCTTAAGTAGGGTGTGCTACTTTCTGAATACACCTCTCTTCTTGTATAAGAAATGGAGTGCTCAGGCTCTTGAATAAGGCACTTTAGTCATCTGCCTAAAGTCAGTGCCTATGATGGGACGTAGCATCAGCAGTCTGTCTGCAGGAATGAACAAAAGAGAGCCAGGCAGGGAGGCTGAGCACTGCATCTCTTTATCCCTGTCACTGCAGAGATACCTTACTCCTTCAACTAGTCTTGATCTAGCCCTCTCCAAGAAAACACCTGAGCATCCAGAGGGATCATTGACTGCAGAAAGTGTTGCCAAATACATCCCCCTTAACATACACAGTCCTGAAACACTACTAACTCTTCAAATGAAAAAAACCAACCCAGAATAACAAAAAACCCCAACAAAACCAAAACAAGCAAACAAAAACAACAACAACAAAAAAAAAAAACCCCAACAACCAAAAAACACAAGAAAATATCCCCACCACAGAATCCCTTATAGTATCCCTAAGAGTAAAATAATGATTACGTTTCCACAGAGGACCTAGAGGGGCTCCAGAGCTCTGCTGTCAGTTCCACAGAGGCTAGTCCTAAGCTGTGTATATACAACCAGACCATGGCAACTGGCTCTGGGGCCAGGAATTGTAGACATAGCTGTAGCACATAAGCACAGCAATGTCTCAGCGACCAAACTTCAGTGAACTTCAGAGGCAATTGCTCCTCTTCATGGACCACCCAGAGCACCAGTTGAAATTTAGACTGAATCCAATGTACTGATGCTGTTGACAAGATGTGTGACAAGACCTGGAGAAAGAGCTTTCTTATTGATAAGCCATATGGCTATTTTCAAAGTCCTCCAGAAATCCAGAGTGATCAAATTCAGTTATGTAACATTACTCTAAAAAACGTCAAATACCTTAATAGAAAATGTAATCATTTTCTATTAACCTGCTTTTGGTTTTCTTGGCTATTTCACATAAGTATCCAGCAAGATTACAATTTTCTATTAAATACACAGAACAATTCATAAAACAAAGAGAAAGCTAATCGCTGCTTATCAAATTTCACATAAATATTTTCCCAGAGGGAATCTGAATCATTTAATATCTTGGACTACCTTTTCATTATTTTATTCTAAGCAACTTAATTTGCAAGGAGATTTTTTGTGTGTTATTTTATTTGTGAATAATATTAAAAATACCTTCTAACTCAGATGGCATACCATTTAACAAGTTGCAGACTTTATTATAATGTTTGTATTTCTATTGGTGATTCTTAAGATGCTCATGTTTAATAAAAATAAGCAGAGAATCTCTGCTTTGTTGCAATACCATAAAGAAAATAACCAACAGTAGCACTTAAATGGAAAAGTGGGAAGAAAGATGTTCTGGACTCTGCCCTTGCCTCCTGATCTCATATCAGCAGGAGAACTCTTTGTGGGGTTGACATACAGAAATTCAACACTTTTTTAATATAGAAAAACTTTTGCTTTATCTCCAAGAAAACAAAAGCCTTTATGCTTCAAGTCTAAGAGCATCACATAACTTAGGGTCTTGTTCACAGAGACACTCTGGTCCTACAGTTCTTTCCACAGAATTTATAAGAGGATCTAATCCTGAAATAACTTTCTTGCATGTATTTGGACAGGTACAGAAATTCAACACTTTTTTAATATAGAAAAACTTTTGCTTTATCTCCAAGAAAACAAAAGCCTTTATGCTTCAAGTCTAAGAGCATCACATAACTTAGGGTCTTGTTCACAGAGACACTCTGGTCCTACAGTTCTTTCCACAGAATTTATAAGAGGATCTAATCCTGAAATAACTTTCTTGCATGTATTTGGACAGGACCATCTCATTAGTTCTTTCCACAGAATTTAGAAGAGGATCTAACCCTGAAGTAACTTTCTTGCATGTATTTGGACAGGAGAAAACCATCTCAAGTAATAATATTGATCTGCCAGACATGCTTTTTCCTAAACACCACAGACCACTAACTAAATGCTTCAAAGAACACCTCACTACTCAAACAGATTAGGCTTCTAAAAATAGACTCATATCTGAAAGTGTCTTTAAGTTTGGATCATTTCTGAATTAAGGGTTTAAAAGAATTTCCTTTTCTTGTATGTAAGACTGTCACATGAATGAGACAGTGTATCATGTAGTAAATTATAATAACATGATAGAGAGTATTGTAGGAGGAGTTTATTTTTTTATTCTGAATTGTTTCAAATGCAAAGTATAATATTAAACAGGCAGTATTCAGAATATGGTTGGAGGAGTTTATTTTTTTCTTCTGAATTGTTTCAAAGGCAAAGTATTATATTAAACAGGCAGTATTCAGAATATGCTGGGGTTTTATACCTGAAGGCAAAAAAATTTGTATAAAATAACTGTATTTAGAGTCTGAGGATGAAGGCAAGAAACTCTACTGCTCACTTCTCATGGCACTGACCTATGTATGACATGGTAGAGCAATATCCTACTCCCAATAACAATAAGCTCCATCATGAATGGCACTGATCTATGTATGACATGGTAGAGCAATTATCCAACTCCCAATAACAATAAGCTCCATCATGAGAAACTAAACAAATTCCACTGTGAACTCTTGCCAGCCACAGCACTCACCTGTGGTGATTTGACCCAGTGACTAAAACACTTTTTTTTAAAAAAATCTTGACATTTTTACGAAAAAAGCCAATCATTTCCATACAACTTCCCTCTCTGTGACTAAAACACTTTTTTTTTTTAAATCTTGAATTTTTTATGAAAAAACCCAATCATTTCCATACAACTTCCCTCTCCATTCAGTTACCCTTCTAATCAGATGAAACCATCTCCTGTGGATCAATAATTACCAGAACCCAGGGATTTCCCAGCATCACATACACCTTTCTGACATTTTTATTTCTATTCATATCACAGAAAAAAGCCAAACTAACATGAATACATAAAATAAAACTACCTACAAACCCCATCTAATGCATTACAGGTTTCACAACTTAAGAGGATCACACAAAAGAATGGTTAATACAAAAATTACTAGGTACAAACATTGTGCAATATACAAGTATTCACAAGTATTCATTCAAATCCAAATAATTACTAATTCCCTGGCAATTACTGAAGTGACCTTCAAATATTTTGAAAAGAAAGTAGCAATGGAATTTTACAGCCAGCTGTTTCAGTTGTTTCAGCATTGTGTTTGATGAAATGATAAAATATGCATAATAAAAAAGAACAAAGAATTACACTACAGCAAAGTATTTTGATATATTATCACATATATTATACTCTCTGTATTGGGAGCCTCATGGAAGTAATAGTACTCAAGGAGGTCTTGGGCAAGGCACATCTGATCTACTGGTCCTGGAAGGCCTCATGCCAGCCTGGCACTGTGCACAGGTGATGCTATCAAAGAGGACCTTCCAGCCTGTCAGGAGGAGATATATGGCTCTGTTTGTACTTAAGATAAAAGGCACCATGGTACAGGTGTGAGGAGACACCTCTGCTGCATTCACTGCTGCATGCACACAGGATTCCCACAACTGAAGGGGCACAAGATTTATCTGCTCTCTGTATTATTTTATGCCATCTAGTTAAAACAGCTTGTTTATTACGCCATGTGTTGCCAGGCCATTCGTGCAGAACGCTCTGATAATGTATATCAGGAATAACATGATGTCCAGCTCTTCCTAGCTGGGGAAGCCTGCTATAATTCAAGTGGAAGATACTACTTAAACACTTAGTTTTTAGCAGAGAGAAAGATGAAACTAAAAGGATTAAGAATGTATCTAAAGTTATTCACAAGAGCACGTATGCTGCATTCTGATTAAATTTAGTTTTGTCTTTTAATCCTATCCTATTTTATTAGCATACATATTGTTCTGCATTAGTCACTGATTATGGTTCCAATTACAAAATTTCCTATTCACTGAATGGTTTCCTTATGAGCTTTACTCATTGTAGTAATTTTTGTACCTTTTCCAAAAGCCAGCACACATTTGACCATATGCAAGGCATAATATATGCCTCCTATCTGAGAAATGGGAGCTACACTCATTATTTTATGTGCCATAGGGCTATGATCATTTGCTTTAAGTGGTAATAATGAATGAGCAGTTCCACTCTGGCATGACTCCAAAGACACAGCTCCCATTTACAAGGACAAACGGAGGAAGGTTCCTACTAGGTTACGTACAAGTTCTATGGTTTGTTCCAGTACAAAAGTATTCGATTCATCAAGCTCACTGACCTTCAGATGGCCTGCTATTAGCACTTATTCCCCAACCTCTCCCTCAATTATCCTTTCAAAACTGAACCATTTTCTTTCAATTGTTTTCTGCCCAGATTTCCTGGGAGTTCAAAACAAAAGTTATTGACAAGTGCCTTAAAAAATAATTTTTTTCTCATGTTCATGACCAAGCGAATGATAATTTCTTTCTCTTTAAATACAATAAAGGTATGTAAATGAGTACATTTACAGTAACATTTCCAGATTTTATTGGCTTTTTTAATGAATGAAAGACTTCTTTGTAAGACAGTGTTTACAAAGAACTTTCTACTGAAGCTTAGCAATGTGTATGATCTTGTGCACTGTATCTCTATCTTACAAACTCAAGAAAGCTAAGGAACTAGCAGTAGGGGAATATACATAGGACTCATTTTATTGTGCTTACTGGTATGTCCCTTATGGAAGGATATACATTCAAGCTTCTCAGCCGAAGAAAACTGCCAGTATAACACCACCCTAGATCTACAGCTTTCTAGACAAGTGGTTTGATCATGTGAAAACCATCTTATAACCTCTGATGGTGAAGGCAGGATTTTCTGCAGTTCTGTTGCCACCACTAATTGGTA